ATGTTAATATTTGCAACTTCCGCACTTTTTAACCCCATAGTCAAATTGGCAATTCGTACTTCATATAATGGAAATAAAAGCATCTGTTTTGTGCAAATACTCGTGATCGTAGCTGCCCAAAAGCCATACGAAAGTCTACTAAGCATTAAACTCATACTAAACAAAGTCACATCTGGCTTAGAAGGGTGCAGAGGTATAATGGAAATCTTTTTTTTCTTTTAACTCGCCTTTAAATCACAAATTACATAGGAAGCGAAAATGCCTGATTCAGTTTTTGGATATTCTTAGTTGGAAAGCAATAATTAAACAAGAGGTACCCCTCACATAAAACGCTGCCTAAGCCAGTGGCACTACTGTGAAGGAGATATATTAGCTCCTGGCTTTTGCAAACACACTCACACATAAGCACATGCACACACACACTTGCATACTGAGCTATTGCCGAGAGTAAAAGCAGCAGATGTACAATGGACTAAAATGGTACGTTATCAGTGCGTATACTTGATTTTTATACGCACACTTAAGCAAATAACTGCAGGCATTATTTCAAAAATTCGAAAATTAAAAGCAAACAACATAGAACAGAGATATGGAGTGGGCAGGGTGGGCGTGGCAGGTGGCCATAAGAAAATACTCGGTCATGCCAGCACAGAGAAAGAGATAGAGAGACGGCAGTGGAGCGAGCGAGACGAAACGCAAAGTTTTAATGTAAAGTGATGTGAAATGTTTTCTTTGCGAATTTACCTTCAATTTATGCATTTATGAATATGTAAGCACATTCACGAGCAAGCTCATGGCTGTGTGAGCAGTCAAGTGGCAAACATGAATACAGAAATAAACACACACTCACACTCACACACATACACATACACACTACCACACACAGGCACTCGGCAATACATTCATTAATAAAATGCTTCTGGCTAAGAAGTTTTACCTTTGCCCATTCGCATTTCCACTTTTCATATCTGAGCCGTAAGGCAGCTTTTTAAAAAGAACATAAATAATTTATTGTTAAATGTTTTTCAGAACTTTACCAAAAGTGCCTCAGAATTTTCCAGATTGCAATCACATGACCTGTGGCAGAGAATTTAATTGAAATTTTCGTTAAACAAGCGCATACCAGGTGCTTACACATGTCCCTGCCAGGGGATTATCCAAAAAGGACACTCGCTGCACTGCAATTCCGAATCAAAGTTAATCAATTACGAGCAGTCACAACTTGTCAGTCAAGTTATATGAAACATTTTATCCTTTTGCATTGCCAACACGAAACATTTTGCATAATACCCCAAGTCAAAGCCGAAACTACGCCCACACAATATCCCTCAAAATCAATCAACAAAATGTCGACATGAAAAACAATTATCGTGATAGTTTCGGTGACAATTTGAAATGTTGCCACCTATGCGAGGTGTCGATTATTATTTGGCTTTTGTTATTTTCGCCCCGGGCAGACGCCCCGCTGCCAGACGGCACACGAATATTTGCGGCTATTAAATTGCGTATACAACATGAAGCCGCGCCCACTTTTTATTGATTTATTTAACCCTTTTTATTGTGCAATCGCTGCTAATGTACCTTACATAAACGCATATATAGACATTTTAAGTGACTGTAAAATATTGATATTCTTCGCTGATTCTCCCACATTTCTGAGTGAGTTGTTGCTGCCGATTTTTTCAGCGCAAATAATTTATGGCATTTTTTGATAGGCAAATGGCACGCGCTAATCAATGCGTCGTTCAAATATTTTTCTTCACCCAGCCTACCCTCAGACGCTATAAATGACAAACTTCCGTTACGCATCGCTTGCCAAAGGCAGTGGAGGCATGCTACAGTGCCTAATAGTCGTGGGCCACGACATGGAAACATGATTCGCGCTGGGTAAATTAAATGCGCATTGAGACAATTGCCGAAACAAGTCGAAAATGTTGACGATTTGTTGTTCCTTTTTGATATAACCGAGCAGTGATATGATGTCAGTGTAATAGGTTCGACACTTTATTGAGTGCAAACCTAATAATTGGGAATTTTATTTGCCAAACAACTGTGGAGAATACTGAATCGGCCGTCATTTTTAATCAATTAAATTTTACGATCAAATATATACTACAATCTGCGCTGTTTTTATAGAATAGATGAGAAAAGCCATTTGGAGTTCTTTAATCAAATCAGATATTTTTGTTTTCAGCCTCGATCTATTAACAGTACCCTCAAATTGCGTGTATTTTGTATGTTCGTATGTTTTATTATTTATTAAATGAGTTAGAAAGAGAGGAACAGTAATTATAATTATAATAATAATAACGCTTAAATTAAGTATGATTTCTGCATTTAATTTAGAAATTTGTTGTATTTTGGCGAGTGTGAACATCATTTTCTATATATTTTCTATGGAATAGATTGGTTGAGTTAAGGGACAATGTTCTTTGTATGAGAAGATATCTCAGAGGACAGGTTTCAAATATCCGAGTCCTTGAGGTTGGAATGAGTCTAGGAATAATTTGAAAGCGCTTTAAAGAAAACAAAACTGGGCATTAAACTAGAATATCCATTTAAAGAATGAACTTTCAATAAATCTAGACTTTAGTAACCAACCAATCATTTGAGGCAACTTTTTGTTCCTTACTTTGAAGTCATCGAGCTATCGATCGAAAGTCTGCACTGGATGAATATGGTTATGTTGTAATACACACGTGTGCATATTTACCTCCATTTAAAAGCCAGGCTGAGATGGGAATGGGTGGGCTCTTTGGGTGCGTGCAAAGCATAACTAAACGTAGATTTTAACATAACTGGCTTAAAACTACAACGGGCACATCTAAAAGCTAAGAGAGTGCTATAACTAAAACAATACAAACAACAACAGCAACAACTCGAGCAACAGCAACAAAAGTGGCAATAACAATAAAAACCAAAAGTACTTTTACACGCACTTCAAATACAAATAAAGCACTCGCCGCGACGGGTATATGTGTGTGTGTGTGTGTGTGTGTAAGCGTGTTTATTAGCGCTTGTGTGTGCGCATTTTTGAGTGGACGATAAATAAATTAGAAAGTTGCAAACGCGCAAAACGCTGTCGCTATAGTTAAATTCTCGGCGTGGCACAAGGCCCGCAACGCGGGACAGCTAGGGCGACGCACTGCGACATAATGGCGTCCACTTTGTGTTCTTATGCTTAATTTGCTTAAAAGGGTGCTGGAATACCGTACCCGATTGCACTGCTGCACACACACACACACACACACACATAGACACACACACACATGCACAGTAAAACGGGCGCGCCAAACTGGTACGAGTAGCCGGCGTCGGAGAAGGGGCGGCAATTGAACTGGCCATAGACATGGACACGCAATGCAAATGTGTATTTTACATTTCACGCACAATTTTCCATTTTCCACTGCACGCAATTTACCGCTTAACGCACAACTCCGGCACAGTCTTTGCCTCGCGCGCCAATTTAAAAGCAACCTCTCTCGCACTTCCTTGCAACCAAAAGCCACCGGCTCATAACACATGCAGAACGACATGTAGGCGACAGCTTAGCGAACGCTAAGCAAGTCCAAGTCCTGCCCCTGCTCAGTCGCATATTACATCACTCGCAGTGTGGTTCGACGCGCTCTTTTCAGCCATGTCACGTTGTTGTTAGCATTCTCTAAGTGGTGAGCAGGGAGCAGGGATCAGGGGCAGCGGATAGGGTGCATATGGCATGGGGCATACAACATGTGCGTGGCCAAATAGTTGAAATAGTTTGATGCACACTTTTCAGCGGCTCTGACTTGGGCTTGGCCTTTGAACCCGCACCGCCGCACCCCTGCATTAACCCCACAAATTGAGACCATACGCATTGCTCGTTGAATTGTTAATATCATTTCGGTGGGAGGGCATACGCATTTAAATGAGGCGCACGTACGCGGACGATTTGTCACAAAATAATTTTTACGACTTTACGACTCCATTGCCAGTGACCAAACCCAATTCAAACGAAACCCACCCCACGAACTCGCGCATATAATTTTCATTCTTGCTGCTATTGTTGTTGATGTTGTTGTTGTTGTTGTTGTTGTTATTGTGATTTTTGTTGTCGTTGTCTCTGTCACCAACTGCGACAATAATGCTTCGATTTAGTGTAAGACGCGTCGCACACTTGACAGCGCTGCTGGTGATTGCCCTTGTCCGGTTAACTGAAGTAGAGACTGACTTAGCATTGGCTAATACTTTTACGTATTTAAAATATACGAGCAAATGCCCTGTACCCATTTAAAAATGAGTAGTGTATAACTGTAGTAGAGATATGTTTGCTTCTTAAAGCAAGTTATCTGACTTAGCTATGCCCAGGATTTAAATTAACTAGTTTTGTCTTTATCATCCAAAGTCATCGAAATTCATACATTCGCTTTGGGAGCTAGATACATTTGATTTGATAATTACTTGTACGTGAATTTGTATACCATATGCTAGCAATTTACTTGTGAGTTTTTTCCTCTGTGTCCCTTGCAAATGTGAACGCTATATCCGATAACTAACGAGTGGCAAGGCATTTGCTGATGGAGCGCACTTGGCAGAGAGTAGGTCTGTTGTTTGCGTCTTTTTCAGTTAATTTGATGGTTGACCTTGTCACTGAATCAATGAAATTTTCAAATGAAGCGCGCAATGCACCAACCGCAAGGCGTGTCGTGTCAATAGAAGCCACCCGATCTAAATCTAATTAATTGTTTTGCTGTCGCCGCAGTTGTTGACGCCCATACACACACACACATGCACACACAGACACTCACATACATATATTTTCAAAGAAGCTGACAATTTTAAATTTAAATGACGTGCGAAAAAAGAAGAATTTAATTTTCCACTCGTGTCTGCAACATGAAATTCACTTTCTATTGCTGCCGCGAAAATGGCAACCGATGTCGGCGAGTACACTGCAAGGAAAAATCCATTAAAGTCAAACTTATTTTGAATTTGAAATGTACATATTTTGCAAAAATGGGAACTAGAACTGAAGATCAGCATTAGTAGCGATATATATTTGAATTCAGTTAATATATTAAATCATTTACTCAATAATTGAGGCATTAAAATCAAGTTGGTTCCAGAGTATTTTTCGATGTGCGTTTGTTTTGAGTGTGTCTTCCACTATTCAAGTATATTTACTTCTCAGCGAGCAGTTGATTTTTTGTTGCCGTCGCGAACTGATTCGCAATCCGCCTCAGAGTCGTTGCGGTTGTACAGCAACTCAAGCCGCTAGACATTTGGCAAAATGACAAATTTGCCGAGTATGCTGTCGCTCAAAACGGGCAGTGGGCGGGGCTGGACGCAGGCCATGCGCTGGCTCCGGTGGTGGATGGGGTGGTGTGCAGCAGGACAGCCAATGGCACAGCGTTTGGTTTCAGTTTCAGTTGCCATCAGCCATCCGCCATCCGCCGCGTGACGCTGAGTTTTGTGGCTGTTTGTCTGCCAAATGCGTTGCCTACTTTTAGGCTGGCATAATGAAATTCCAACTTTTGACTTATTGACGACAACGAGGACGACGGCGATGGCGACAACGACGAGGACAACGACAAGTTCACTTCTCAGTTTGCTAGCTAACAGCGCAGCATGTTGTTGTTTTTGTCGTTGTTCTTTTTCTTGTTGCTGTTTTATGGAATACGGCTGCTGCAGGCGACGCAGCGCCGCTTTAGCTTTTGTATCATTTTTTTCGAATTAATTTGTATTTGCATTTTGCCATTGTCCTAGAAGTACTTGATGCAAAGTGAAATCGAAGCCAAATTGAAATTGTGTCAAGTGTTAAGTTCATCATCTGATTAAATAGATTTTATAATCATCTTCGCACATAATTTGTACTTTTATGTTTATATATTCGCGGTGATCCATGTATATTCCATTACTATATGGAAAAGCTTAGTTATTATCTTGTTTAATATATCTCCATAATTCCGATGAAAATACCTGAAGAAGAAGCATAATTAACTTTAAATAAACTTCTGCAACCTATTGCATTTTTAATTACTTACAACATATTTTATGCGAGTATTCTAGAAGCGTTCATAACAAACGGAAATTGTGAAATCTATTTATAATAGACCTCGGCTAAACAATACGCTTAATCAAAAAAGCAAAGAATTTCTTTGACAATAAAAGCTGCCAAAGTGCAAGCATTTAGTACTAAATTCCCAATTTCGGGTTTGTGCTAATTAAGAAAACTTCTCACAGTGGACTCTAGACTACAGCAAATAGTTGAAATATATACATCATTTAATTTTGTATTTTAGCCAAATATTTGTATTAAACAAAAAGCATAAATTAGTCTCTATTTATATTTGCATTTTTTCCCATTTTGTTATGTGCTTGTCTGTGTGTTTATATGTGTTTATTGAAATTGGGAATGCAGAAAAGTTCGGTTCAGCTTTGTTTTAATGAATATGCACTGAGCAATGTGCATTCCTTGGCGCTGGCTATCTGCAGGCACAGGAAATTGCGCAATTTTCTAGATGCTTTCACACCGCAATAAGTTGGGATGAATTGAGAATATATTTAGTTTATTTTTTGTTTTTTGTCACTTTTGTCTGGAACTGTTAAACGGATGACAGGATTCACGCTCCACTGGGCTTTTCCTCTTAATGGAATTCTCACCTTTAAAGTAATATCCGCTGGGCTTTTGAAAATTAATTTGCGTTTTAATTGACTTCTACGAGAAGCGAGAATTTTCGGTGTTTGCTAGAGGCGAGCTGCGTGGGCTTGTCAATATTTACATGCTACACATTAATTATATGTATGCAGCATACACATACACATACACACCCACTCACATCCACATACATATTTAAGCACAGGCATTAGGTACAACAATGGCCAATTTCCTGGCCGGTTCCACGAACAAGCCGCGGGCGAAATAACCGAACTGAGCAGCTTATTAGCAGGTCAGCACGCGAGAGCCGCAACAAACGCGGCCAATCAAAATTATACCCCACCCAGCCTTTAGTCCACGCAGCTGGCCAAAGCCATCGAACTTTTACGCATTGTTTATGTTAACAAAATGTAAATAAGTGTTGCGTACAAACGATGTTGACGATGACGAAAACAAAAGGCAATTAAATTTGTGGCCAAAATAAAGGCGCCGGGACACGCAAGTCGTTGGTAAGACTTGGGGCAACAACAGGTGTTGCGGCTTACAGGGTTGGCTTCCCAATCAAAAGAAACGAAAAGCTAAAACACAAAAAAACCAAATAAATCAAATCGTGGGCAGACAGACGAAGCATAACAAAACCCACACACACACACACATCCTTATACAGGGAATTGGAGCAGCCCCCCAGGACATTGCATATCGAATAGTTTTATCGAAGTGGTCGCCATTTACGCAGCCAATCCGTCGCCGCCTGCTCTCTTGTCGACGCAGTTTGCTTAAGTGTGCTCGCGTGTTAATTGTCGAGGAATGTGCTTGCCACGGCGATAATATTGGACAGCCAGCTATCCAGCTGGGCAGCCTAACGTGCTCGCTGACAATTCAAAATTAACTACGAAATTGACCATAGTTGCAAAAGTAACGCATAATAAAGTGGCGCATATAACCTATAGAAGCAAGTAACAAATTTGTATTCTCGATTGCGAGATACCCTGGATCCCGATGGAAATCGCTTGTTTTTTTATCTATGGACAAGCTGTATGTACATATTAATGGGTTTTACTTCAAAATGCAGAAAAAGTACGTTTTGCCATCGATTTAGCTTGCATATTAATTATATTTTGTTTGTGAAGGCCGTTGAAATAGTCCATCGAATTTAAACTTGGTAAAGGCAACTTTTGCTGAATAATGATGTTAGTTAATGACACTTGTGATTACATTGATAAACGAATTTCTTGAAAACTTTTTTGTTTTTTAGTAAACGCATGTGTTAATCCATAACACATTTTTCAGTATTGTACAATGGCTTATTTTCGTAAGACTACATTTTAAAAACTGTCAACCATTGTCCAAGAAACACGAAAATGAGGATTTAATATCTCATAACTATTTTCCAGAGGTGACGCGCTTATTCTAGTTAGATCAACCCAACACTTAAGCTAACAGAAGAAATATGCTATATGAGGTAAAAAAAACTTTACCAAACCCAATATTCTTATTAGAGAATTGCAATATTTACAGTCAGTCCTTGACCTAAACTGGAGCTGTCGGGTTCCCTGATACGACCTAGCGTTCAATAATCTATTAATATAAAACGCCTAAAATAGATATACGAGTTTTTGATATCACTTGTAAGGTCGTCAAATTGCTTTTGCTCTATACCTAAGTATTCCGGTTCTGGCAGCCAAATGGGCAATCTTTCTTTAACGACTATTAAATGCTGGCTGCCGCCATTAAAGTCACTTCCGTTTATTTTTATCGTTTTTAATTGCTTTTTTTCGTCTATTCCGGTCGTGTGTTGTTGTCTCCTTTTTTTTGTGGCTGCCTCATTTGTCGCCGTGTGTGTTTGCTCGTTCATTTTATTTAGCAATTTATTTCACACGTAGCCCCCCAGAAGCGAAGTGTGCCTACTACAGTGCTTGGCCGGGGCAGTGTATCTGGTGACTGTTTTTAATTTTAGGCTATTATGAGCTGTCCAGTTGCCTGCTGGCCCCTGCCTTTACCGGCAGCACGGGTATGTTGCCCATTTGCAGTCCGGGCCAAAATTATGGCCACACATATAAATTGTCAAGCGGCCATTCGTCTTGCAGAATAAATGTTGCAATTTGTTGGCTTTGCGTTGCGCGCGAACTCTCTGAAAAGATGGCACCCAAGATAGTCCACAACAGCTTCCGCTGCGCACAAAAGTATGCTATGCTTTTCGTACCATTTCCAACCCGCCTTTAAAGCGCCGGCGTGCACCTTCGCTGACCACTGACCGAACAGGAGCTGGAGTTAGAGCTGGCGGTAGGGCTGGCAGAGCTATAAATTCCATTGCAATGCATGCGACTCCATGTGCGACGCGAGACACAAATAACTCACAGTCTGCATGGCGCAGCGCCTTTCATTAGGAGCGGCCTTCGCTGACCACTGCCGGCATATATTTGCGCACAATTAATTATTATAAATGTCGTGGTCTCCATCCGGACGCAGACCCGGGTCCGAGCCAGCATGCGGATGCGGTTACGGATGCGAATGCAAACGCGAACGCTTGCACAAAGTCCCACAAAACGTTCTCCGTTTGCCGGCAAGCGAAATTGTTTATGAAAATTTATGATTACAATATTTGTGTCGCACTGCATCTTTCCCACCCCCTCTCGGCAAATAACTTGTATTTGCTCTATGTGGCCGTTGGATTTTATTTATTTGAGTCGACACTCTGATGTGGCACGCAGAATGCTTGCAACCTGCAAGGCTTTTACCACATGCGCCCATGTGCCGCCCCAACGCTTTGCCACTTCACGAGGTTTATGTGAAGAGAAAAGCTGATTATGCTTATTGCCTTTTAATGCTACATCTACTTGCGCATTAATGTATTACCAACACACACACACGCATGCGTACTCACACGAATGAGTTTGCATTTCTATTGATACTTTACTCACAATTGATTTCACATGACTTCCTGCTTGTTTATTCAAAGAAAAACTTTTTAAGTACAAACACATACACACACACATAAGCATACACTTCAGTGCGGCCTGTTATAGTCAATTTTAAATCAGAAATATCCTTCATTCATTCATTCCTTGATGTTGTTTGACGCCTTTTCCATGCTTTTGTGTCATTGCTGTCCTGCTTTCGATTCCTCTCAAGCTCTGAATCTTGCAAGCTTTTATTTGCTTAAATTATCTTTTATTTATTTGCTTAATGGCTATCGATTTACTTGGGCTGTAATGGATATGCGATTGTTTAAAATGTTCGCTTCTGACAAATGCTCAAAATGAAACAATTGAATTAAAAATATGGATATGTTTGCGAACTGTTTGTACATTTGTAATTCAAGTATATATATTCAAAAATTAAGTGTGTTTGCAGTATTCAATACTTAAAGTTATTTCGTTAATAATTTTCATTGGAATTGGGTTAAGCTCTAAGAGTAGTTGAGTCCAAAAAAAGTGCATTGCTTAAGCTAAGCACATCTTAAATTATATATAAAAGTGTTTGCCCCGACTGAATGAGGTTCTCACCGAACGTTTATCAACCAGCAGCCAAAACCGCAGCTATTATATTTTGGGTTGAACGTGAGATTAAGTTTTCGATCTAAAAGTTTCGAAACGTTGGTCAAAGACTGTATAAAAACCATCGACAACGACATAAAGTTTTGCTTTGCAAAGGTTTCTATGCGTCGGATTGACAAGCGAGAGGTCGCCGGTTCAAATTCAGCAGCAATTGCCAGCTTTTGTGTATGTTTATTAAATTTGTTATTATTCACAAAGAAAAAGGCATATTAAAAACAAATAAGTGTGCGTTTGTCGGAGGTAGTGCCTGATAATATTTGTATCTTTTTGCAGCAGGTGCGAATTACACAAAAAAGGTCGCTGTAAATACGTTTCCAACATAATATGCATGGCATCTTCTGAATATTATTTGCAGTATAATATCTTTATAAAATTGAGAAATGTATTTTTTCTAAGTCAATACCCTAGTCAATATACCCTTTCCCTCATTCTTACGCTCCCCATCTATATGCAGCTAATGCCTTTGCATTTGCAGCTTGTTCATTATTTTCACATTCATCATTTGAGCATTTTTCGCTTGAGCGCCACTTTAGACGCCTTGCCTAGATTTGCACCCCTCTCATCATCAAGCTGCAGCACCCTCTGCACCGCTGTGCGTTTGTTATCAGACTTCATGCAGCTAATTATGCGCTAAGTAGACACGGTACACACAACAGCAGTAGCAACAACAAAAGTAAAAGTTACAACAACAAGAGCGGCACACCGGGACGCAGTGGCGAGCGGATAATTTATGGCCGCGATTGCAGCCAAAAATCCTTTGTCGA